TGTCAGAAATAGTAATACAGAACTGAACGCATAACATAACAATGATAAGAATGCATGAGATTATGGAGGGGGGGGGCAATATCTATTACAATACTTTCATCTGTGCCCACCCATTACATGAGTCCCACACGTGTGGTGTGAAGGAACCTGACTGACCTGCACTGAACCCTGATCTTGCTTTGTGGACGGAGTTCATTGATTTGTAGGGTGAGCCAATACATGTGACAATTAAAGTGTAAGTAGCTGAAATAATTTTTAACAAACGGGTAAAAGAAGGAAAAAAGATCAAAACTGTTGCACTCAAAAAACCTATTGGACAGAGACAGCGTCTTGCAAGATGGCGAGAGAGCTTGTCTTCATTGTTGCTCGTCTTGTGTAAATGTCCAGAAAGCATGGGCCATGGATCATCTGCGGAGACATGGGTAACACACATTGGTCACTTAAATTATACAAGAAATTCACTAAAAATGGCAACAACAGTTACCTAATTTGAAGTTCTCCACTCAAATTCAGTAAGGCGCTGGAGGAAAGTTGTGACATGAGGGTTAATGTGAACAACCTTTCGCTTCACAGTGGTCCCAGTCCTTCTACTTGTCCCAACCTTGGAGGTACATTTTGTTCCCTCTTCAGGAGGGATAATAAATAGTAGCATACAGTAACATTGAGTTGTGATTTGAAATAATGAGTTACTCATTATCATCATCATCATCTATCACTATTAGCTAACTGTTCAAACATACCTCTGAATTAGTTCCAATGTTGACTCCTGGTATTCCAGGTTCAATACATAGAATGAACCAAAGAAGACTGACATCGCATCAGCACAGGTGTTCTCTTTGTCCAGCTCAACAATTACACGCCCCTCTGCACTCACCATCCAGCAGGTGGCGGTCATTGAACTTTGTCCTTAAATGTATAGGGGCAACATGTTGTCATTATGCAACATAAAATAATATCAATACTTCTGCACACCGTCTATTTATTTTTATTTATTTATTTATTTAGGACAGTGCATGTTAATGAACATAAATGTAAAAAAAAAAATTACATGAATGTAAACATGCCAGATTATAGCCAAAGGCTAATTTCCATCTGTTGTCCTTAAACATAAAAAAATAGACATAGATAATCATAAAGCAAATAGCTACGTACAGTTAATTATTATGGGCCTTGTGTACATAAGTCTGTTTTAACATATTATAATTGTACATAATTGGGAATTATTCTGCCCATTAAACACACCTAACAAAGAGTCAGCCCAGTTAAAGTACCGGAGATGAATCAACTGTATGGTTATTTTGGAGTTTATAGTTTGTGCTGCTGTTAAACTTTACAGTACTGACTTCAGTATTTCTGCTGTTGGTGTAGCTAGACTACCATGTTGATCAGTAATATGTAATGTGAAATTTGATATTGTGCCAAACAGAAATTTTAATATGGTCTAATCAGCTCTATTTCATGAATGACTTCTTACCAAGCATAATCAGCCTTGGAGTGCTTGGCAGGTTGTTCTCTGCTTCAAGGGACATCCTGGTAGGTGTTTCCTGCCAGAAAGAGGACCAAGACATTTTATTTAACAAAAAAAAAAAAAAAAACAGGACAGCAAGCAACAGCATTAAACATAGAGCTGTATGAAAGAAGCTTACATCTGCTAAGACAAAGAGGGAGTCTTCATCTTCCTTGTAATACTTCATCATGAGAAGTGTGGCTGCTGTGCCAACCTTGTTGTCGGTCAAAACTCCCTCACTTTCTATCTGCTGGATGAGTGTCCTTATACCAAGCTTCCATTTGAGCTTCTGGCTGGAGAAATAGTTAACAATCCTTCTGCCTTTGGTTATGAGGGCCTGACCTAAGCGCTCACTGATATCGATGCCTGCGAGTTTGGAAAGGTGGTTCGAAAGACCTTTCCGAGTAAACAAGACAGGCCACTGCTCCTGAATTTCAGCTACGGAAAGTGAGGGACAACTGTTGATAAGCTGCCACTGAGAAATATATGTGAGGCACATGAAGTCATCCACATCAGCTCTCTCCACAGCTCCAGGTCCTTCTGAATTAAAAATTGTTAACAGGATGTGTTTCTTTTCCTCTAAAGAAGCTGGCGTTTCCCCCTCAGGAAGTTCAACTGGCTGCCAATTTATAGCAGTTCTAACCATCAGAAGGTTTCATTTATAAAGAACTGCACCCATAGTCCAAGCACCAGAATTATATAGTGAACAGGTGAGAAAGTGTTTTGAGAGTTGAGGTTTATTAACTATTGACCTTTTTCACTCACGGTTTGAACAATTTCATTTTTTAAATTAATGATTTGCCCCACTTACTCTGTTCAAAAGGTAAAAGACATTACACAAGAATTTTTGACAGATTCTTGTTTTAAAACATCAATCATTTGTTTCATAGTTGTTTTAATTTCACAGTTAAAGCACTGCAATGCATGCTGGGTATTTCTTTTTACTTCTTAGTAAACCTCAGGTATACTTCAAATAAATTACACACTACATAGTATATTACAAGCACTACTATACTACAAGTATAGACTAAATGTACTTATACTTTTCTGTATACTTCTAACTGCACTTAAAGTATGCTTAAATGTAATTTGGTCTAAAAAAGGAAGAAAATACATACAAATTAAACTAAAGGTATACTTGCTTGTTTTCTAGTTTTTAAAGTATACTTATACTTAAATATTCTTTTTGGTAAGAGTGAGACTGGTTGTTTGATACAAAGTGGGCTGTAATAATGTTTCACATTGTTTGAATAAACAAATACATTTATTAATATATGAGGTTCCATTCAGTTTAAGGAATTAAATTTTAGTGTGGCTGCAACTTACTCCTTAAGTTAAAAATTATGCTGTATATTGTAGTTTATATGTTATACTTGTCACGGACCCGGCTCTGGGGACTCGGGGTCCGTGGGCAGTGGGGGCTATGACTGTTGTTATTATTATTATTATTATTTGGTGTGTTGTCTGCACTGCCCCTGTGCACATCTGTAGGCAGGTATGTGTGTGTGTGTTTTGCCTTTCTTCTGTGGCCAAGTTACAGGCACCTTCAGCCCTGGGGGTGTGGCCTAACTTGAGGGCTGGCCGCACCGAAGTCCTTGCCGCACACCTGCTCCTCATCTGGGCTCGTCAGGGGAGCTATTTAGATGAGCGATGGAGCTTCCACCGATGCTGGATTATTGTGTTTGACTACACGTCAGTCTTCAAGCACAGTCAAGTGTGAGTGTATGCCTGCTGGGATAAGTGTGTAACGGCTGCCTCTATTGTTTTCCCCTCAGGAGGAGTGTGGGACGAGAAGGAGCGGTGAGCACGGGGAGTGCAGGGACACTGGGGCAGAGAGCACTACATGGGGACTTTTGGGAAGAAGACACTACACGGGAGTCTGGGAAACTGGGGATTTATTGTTGTTTACTTCACCACCTTGTAAATAAACACTGTTGCACTGAAGAGTCCGGCGTTTGGGTCCTATTTCCCCATCTCCACAGTGAATTGCATTTTATAGTAATACACTCTGAATGAGGATTTAAGTAATTACTCTTAGATCTACAGTAGAAAACAACAGAAATCCGGATGGCGTAATAGTATAATCTCAGTAACATCACTAATTGTTACATTTGCTGTATTTTACAGCTGTTTCCATGAGTACGGTGAGTTACCGTAAAAATAATGTATTCTCATGGAATTTTCCCACAATTACATGCAAATTACAGTACTAAACTGCTAACATCCTTTAGAGTTTTTTACTGTTGATTTTGCAGTACTAAGCTATGGAAATTACTGCAAAGGCTAACAGTGTGGGGAAACCAAGTTAATGATAAAAATGATTTAAAAAATAACGATAGAAACTGATAAAAACCCTGAAAACCATAAATTTCACACCTGAGCTGCAACTCTCGTGGCCCGGTACTAAACGACTACCAGTACTGGTCTGTGGCCCGGGAGTTGGGGACCGCTGCTCTAAGCTTTTTCTGTTTTTGTGCTTTAAAAAATGCAAATGTCGATGTTCTGCTGCTTGAGAACAAATACGTACACATAAAAAGGAACACGTAGTTCGAGGTGGGGTAATTTGCCCCAGCGGCGTGCACACCGCACCAGTAGGGGCAGAAATGAACTCCTGGAAGCGTTACATTTTTCTGTTAATTTCATTAAGACATATTGGCTTATTTATAGAAAAAAAGACTGTGACACACCAGCGAGTGGACAAAGAAATCTGCAGTGACTAATAAAACAGAGCGAACACAATCGGAATGATGCATTGGCCTTTATTCCACCCGAGTTCAAAATGACGCCATGAAGCTGAGTGACATTAATGACAGCCTGTAGTACTCTCCACCCGCCCCCCCCTCCTTCACCAACACCCACACCAGCGTTCAGCACCAATAGAAGAGTTCCTGTAAAAAGCCTCAGAGTTATTGGGAGTGATATGAAATTTTCTAAATGTCATTAATTGACACCTTTTTCTGTAGGAGCTGTCAGTGGGGAGACAGAAAGGTCACGGCTCTCGGGCTGAGATATATATATAAACCTCTTCTGCTGCCAGCGCCCTGAGTTATGGCTGTCGTTAACGCGGGGAATGGCTGGAGGAGCAGCTTCTGAAAGCCTATATCGATCCCCTCCACGCTCCAGAGGAAGGGCCCGGACGTGGCGCGGGGTTTCCAGGGCAGACACGGAGGGGCTGATGTGCAAGTTCTTCTGAACGAGCCTCAGTGTGACGCGACCGGAAGACAGAGGTTTCTCTTCTTCTGGGTAACCGTGTTTTAATCCACTCCATGAATTATATATGTGACAAAGAAGAGTGCCTCCTGCTGGATTACACGTGTACTGCACATTTACGCAGGAAATGAAACCCTGGAGATGGGCTGTGAATGGAAGCATCAGATGGACTCTGGTGAAGTCCGGTGCTGATCTTTGCTCTGTATTTTTATAGGAGCTTTGCTTTGCTCTGTTAAATAGAAAGGCCAATCCTCCTCCAAACATTAAAGACCACCCGTTTCCTGTTAGCAGCTCAAACAGCAACAGCCCAAACCAGTGCAGAGAGTAACAGTCCTGTCTCAGACCTCAGTGGCTTTCTTGTGCTTTTTCACTTGCTGTTTAGTTCAGCTGGTAAAAGGTCTGGGTTAAAATACACACCTTCATAAGAAATGTGTCCCTGGAAGGGCGTCTCTAAGACTTACCTTTGTGTTGACTCACCTATTATACAGCTCAGTCTATTTTGAAGGAGAAACAAACAGTTTTCAGACGGCCAGAAACAAAAGCAAACCGAGTGTTACCTCAGGCAGGTGAACATACTGTACGCAGGGTGTGCGTCAGTGCCTCCCCCTGAGCATGTGTGTGCTGCTGTGGCTCTGTGTGCATCCAGGCAGTCACAAGGAGGGTAATTTGTCTGATCAGGCTGATTGGTCTCCAGCAAATAACTCACTACAAGATTAGAGGGGTAATTCCTGGGCCAGAACAGAAGCTGGAAGTGCTAATCAATGGAGCTGCCTCACTGACGAGACCACATTTTGGCTGCTTGACCACTAAAGTGCAGAGGGAGGGGGCAGGTCATTTGATTTTTGTGTGACCGGGTTTGTGAGCATGCTCCTGGAACACATGCTCGTGTGTGTCTGCGTGCACATTTTCAGTACTTGTCACTGTGAACTCTCCTCGAACGTAAGGCGTGATTAATGAGGCTGCTTTATAGCGGGGCAGCAGGCGAGAGAGCGAGCGCGGGGCTCCAGAGTCACGGGACCGGGACGTTATTGACATCTCCATTATTTACTGAGTGATCGGAGCGGCCGAAGGGGTGCTGATTAGAAAACAATAAATGCTGTTATTGGTGTTGGGGGCCAAATGCACATCACAGCCTCTGTAGTCACTGCAGCCACTCAGGGCTGGACACGGAAACACCCACTGCTCAGCGGAAGGATTCTGGTACCAAGTATGACGGGAATAGGGTGATAGGATGATGTTTATTTATCTATTTATTTTGATCACCTGAGGTTAAATTAGGAAATCAGGATTCCAACGTACTCCGGCATGCATCATGCAGTTTGTCCCTCTTTGATAAAAGTTCAGATGGGAGTAAATACTCATAATTCCTAAAGACTTAAAGGCAACAGTAACATGAGGTTAATGCCACGTGATGTCAGTGTAACCTGCACTGTAATATGTCACAAAGGTAAATGTGTAATAATAATAACAATACCACTCTGAGGTAATGTTCACAGTGATCCGTGAATGTTGATGCACCTGTGTGTGTGTGGTAATGCACGAGGATTAATTCAACACGTGCGAGACACATAGCTTAGTTTACTGAGGCTGACTAGCAAAAGATCACATGACTAGCAGTTAGCAGTGAGTGTGAAGTGACATTCCCGACAGTTGCACGGCAGTGGACAGCTGTTTCCAGCTGAGGCTCAAGGTTATCCCGGACTTTCATGGACAGTAGGAGAACTGTTAGCGAGTTGCTAACACGCTGTAGCAGAGGCAGCCGAGAGCTGGGACTGGTGAGCAGTGACCGACTGAGCCAACTTTCTGTGTGGGCCCATGTGCGCATAGATGTAGATGTACTGGTTCTTATATAGTGCTTTGCCTCATTCACACAAGCACTTTTTCTATACTGTGCTTTCTGTCTAACATTCACACTCTCATGCATCAGAGAGCAACATGGGGTTAGCAAACTGACTGCGATTGAACAACCAACCTTCCCGTTAGTAGCAGTGTTGCCAACTCTTCAGTAAGGAAAATCGCTATTGGCTGTCCTAAAAGTCGCTAGAAGTCGCTAAATGACGTCATCGCCCAATTTGCATAATTGGTCATGCTAATATAATTGTTGTTTTTTTTCCCCACCCTCATGAGGGTGGGGATGGATGTTTGTGTCTGTGTGTGCCTGTATGTCTGTGTCTATATGTCAGGTTGGGTATCAGACGCCACCTCTCTGGGGACATCTCAGGC